CGCTGTCCAATAGAATTCGAGATTTCGAACACAGCAACTTGCCTGTAAACCATACACTTCGTACTTCGTACTACGTTCCTGGTATAATAATAAGAGTAAAACTATACTAATATATATAAAAAATAAAATAAGAAAGAAAAGAAAAATTTTATTCGTTACAATAGGTCGGAATATTGGTTTTATATATTTATCTATACATTTAGAATAATTTTTCAAGTCATAGCATTAATCGTATGCGAAGCAGCCAATAATGTGAACTATTTGTAAAATAATTCATTATCTGGCTGCATAGCTACAATAGCAATTTATCTGGTGGTTGTGCTTGATAAATGGCTCGAGTTTTTGGCTGGAATAACGTAAGCTGCCAAATAATATATAGTTATTGGATGCTTCGCATCCAATAACTCGAATTACTCGGCAAGCACTATCAGAGTAAAACATCCTTCAACTAAAACTTGTGTCATTTCCATTGCATCTTATAGCGTATTGGATTTATTTAATCATAAATTAAAACAACCAATAGTAAAAGTTTTGTAAATGCACTCTCTTGGGAAACTTTAAAATGTGCACTTAGAGAACAATGAGAGAAGTGCATTTATGGAGATCATGTATGTAATTTGAGTTTACGTTTAGAGGAAGTGTATATTTATAAATGGCACGCTTATGGAGGTTTTATTGTATATAGGGTCATAGCATTTACTATTGCACTATACATTGTTTAATTTCATTTCATATCAAATTAATTAATGAAAATAAACTAATACTTACTGACCATTCGCATCCATCACTCTACTATAATATCAACATGCAGTATATTAGGCCTCTTATCAGGCAAAATATGAATCGGCTAATATTTTATCATTTAAAAATAAATAAATTCGAAATGGGCTCGATAATTGAAGTTTAAAATCAATAATAATCTGTTTATTGTTACAACACAATTTTAAGCCCAGTATAGCAATAGATATGTTAGTACGTATTATGTACTTATGTACTTCTTTACTTTTAAGTTTATCTAAAGAAGATAGGTGGCGCGTAAGGCCACCTATCGTGCTAATATATGCTAAATACATAATTTAAAAATTATAGATAAGCTACTGTATTACATTCATGAGCATCTTAATAAGACTGAAGAGGCGTTAAAAGAAGAATTAAATGTAGCTGTACCGCAATTATTTTCAACTACACCGAGGCCACAAGAAGTAGTAGAAAAAAAGGTGTAACAGCATGGTCTATCGTCACAAGTTGTATTAAAGATTGAAACAAAATCTTTATCGTAACAGCCAAAGCCAGGGCCAACTTCTTGTCTACCGCTTTCACCATTCAGCCCTAAGAAAATTTTGAATTTAAATGTAAAAAGTTAATATATTTATAAGAATTATCTTAAGTATTAAGAAGTACGTGACATTA